GAGAATTGGATGAAAAATCTTTTTAAATCAACCACTTTAGATGTTAAGTTGTACAAAGAACACTCAACTTAAGCTGAGATTAATCTCTTTCAAGTGAGAGACGTAATAAGACATAGTGGCGAAAACACCTTTCTTTGTAGATACTAAATCTTTATAAAAAATCTTTCAATTTGAGATTTTCTTTCAATATCATTTGTCATTGAAAGAAACATCTGAAAATATGAAACATCTAGCTGTTGCTCGCGATTTAGTTCGCGTGAAATTTTAAAATGTAACTTACTCGTATGTTATTTACCTTAGCTTTTTAATGGCGCAAGTATTTTTAAAACCAGCCTAGTAGTTTTTGAGTTATTTCAAAACATACAAAAATCCGGAAAACCAAATCTTCCTCTTTAAAATAAGGACATAGATTAAATAATGAATTAAAATAAGTAGATTTCAGCAATAGTTTGACTTTCAAAAGTGCTTTGCTTTTAACCATATAATCTTTTATAATACGTCCACCAAGATACAAATGATTACAAGTTTTTTTTCATTAATTTGTAAGTACACCTCCGAGATTGCAAGAATTTAGTTAGATTACAACTCGTATATGGTATTTTTTTATTAATTAAGACACAAAAACATATTCAAGTATGCATTCTATATGCTTAGAAAAATTGCAAGGACACTTACATATCTATTATTAACATAACGACATATTATAATACATATAAATATGAAAATTGTGTTATTTTACGTCAAAAGACTTATTTTATATGTTAAGCTTGAAATGTAATTTATTGGTGCAAGCACGCCTGCGTTTGACCGCGGCTCTACTAATTAAGTTTGTCTCGCCCGTGCTGTCCATCTGTAACCTAGTTGTAGCAAATTTCGAATTAATTTGACTTTGAGAGAAATATCATTATGCAGATCGCGTTCTCTGTCGTTTGTATATTATTACCTGTAATATTGTCTTAAAACGGAGGGCATAGAAAGACGAAAGCCTGTAGTAAAAGGGTGACAATAATTTGTGTATAATATGGTAATATTCGTCCGAATACTGAAACGATAAGGCCACGCTCAAACTTGAACTGTTTCAAATTTTGAAGTCAGATTGCGGCACTTACTAAGCGAAGTATTGAAGATTCGTTTAACTAATTGGCCGATAGTTATTTAGGTTACAAGTTTATGTAAAATCTAATTTTTGTTATTTTGTAAAATACAATTAATAACATCAGCAAAGGCTGGATTAAGTCGGTAACTTCTTCGTAAAGAAGTAACGAAGTACAATACGCGGACAGGATTTTGTGGAATACTTACGAAGAAGGCGGGTGCAAACATCTCATTTGGTGCTTTTGTATAAAATGACTACGTCAAATTTTGCGGGATATCAAATAGGATCTCTTGTGCGAGGACAAAGCCAGCTGATTGCGGTTTTCGCGACACCATGTGGGTTTTCTGTAACTAATTTTAAATAAAAAAGATTGTAAACATTATCATTTGATAGTCAAAAAACTACATTAGGTTATTTTTAAATTGCAAAAATATAATATTTTAGTGGTTGTAATATGTTTGTTTCATACGTAATCCCTGTTCCAATCCAATGCAGAAAAAGAATAAGTCTACCAGAAGATTTTGTGCTAAAAATACCTCTGGATTTGTAGGTTTACAACTCCCATTTTATAATTGTAAACAATAAAATAAAGTTCTTATAATTTCGACCGCGTGAGATTAAAAAATTGAAACTATAGCCTATGATACAGATAACCTTTGTAACGGTGAAATTTTTAAAATCGGCCTAGTAGTATTTGAATTATTTCAATACATACAAAAATGCAAATTTTTCGTTTTCATAATATTAGTATAGATACATTAGGATAATTTTAAAGTACGGATTTAAATGTGAAAGAAAAATACGTAGATAGTAGAAATGTATGTTGGCATTGGAACATATATTTCAGAGACAACAGCTGCGCTATTTGTCACGGCTTATCGGTTTAAACGTCACCTTGCAAGTGCAGCTGATTTCTCAATGTTACAGAAAATGGATAAATCCTTTATGCATTTATTTGCAATAAGATGTTTTTTTAAGCCTTTGTTCCAGCTTTATTTTTATTGTTTTGTTTTTAAAGAATAACATTAATATATTCAATGGAAGAAAAAGTTGGTAATACAATAAATTCTTAACCTTGTGTGTCGACCCCTTTTGTGTATTGTCGTGAGTAGGTAAAGTCAGAGATGATTGTGATGACATACAATAATATGTATATCTAGAAATAATTGTTTTTGGGGGAAAAAGTATAATTTTTTACAACAAAATGTTACTTGGAGGTTATGTTTAGTTGTTTAAAGGTCATTCACCTTATCTTCATTAATTGTATAAGTGATCTTCCATTATTAATTATTGAATGTATTGAATTTTAATGGACAGTAAATATCAGTTAAAATCGAGCCACTCAATTGATTAATTAAGGTTAATGGATCTAGGTAATCATTATGCTGAAATTCCGCTCGTAAAAAACTTCGTTAATTTACTTTTAGACATGTAACATTTTAGTAACATTTTGATCTGAGTTTAAAATGCGTTTGTCATCAAACTCATGTTATATTTTAGAATATAAACACTTTTAACAAATAATTTTGCACATGATAGATAAAAAGATTGTCGTTTTCGATGTTATTGAATAGTAATGACGTCACGGGCGTCGATTTTTCGCACCATGCGTGTCTTCATCTTGATGAACCCGCAATTACATATACATATGCGTCGTTGTAGACAATTTAAGTACTAACTTCGCAAAATATTTGTCATTATAACTGTGAGTATTGCTAAAACACATGTACAAAAATATTCTAATTCCTCCATATTTAAAAAAAAAGGTTTTCTGTGTTTCAATACAAGTGTTTCAGTAATGGAGTCTCACGGTGAGACATGTTTATCTCAAAAGCATCTGTTTACATGAATAATGCTGGGTTTCTGAAGTTCCCATTTATTGCATTACCTAGCATTAGTAATCGGTTGAGTTATGTTATTAGTAATGTTTCAATGGAACAAAACTCGTTACGTAGTTCGGAAACAAATTTCATGAATCGAACCAAAAACACTAACGAATGGTTTTTTTTAGACAGCTTCATGTCACCCTAACACGTTTTAGCCAGGAACCTGGGGAGCGGTGTATCTTTTTATTATAAAGTTAAAACATAAATTTACATTAAAATCTTATTTCTATCTATCACTTTACGAGTATGTAAACCTAACGAATGGTTAAAAGTAGGTGGGAAATTGGCCATAAAAAGAGTAGGTATGGTATCTACTAATGAAGTATTCAAAGGTTGGTAGAGATAGGAGATTTAAGAATCATTTTTAAAGCGTAACAGTGTGAAATGTTTGCACGTTAAATTTTAGGGCAACATTGTGGGATAGCGAGATAACGCGGTCAACTGCATTAAAGATTCGCTCACCCGCCAAAACCTAATTACCTCAACCCACATGCTAATAAAACTGACGATTCGTACAAAATTTCCCTTAATATTTTTGTCTATTTACTAAACGTTATATTTTGTGTTGTCACTTTAGTAAAGTATTGTGATGTTAATTGGGACAATATTTGCGATTGCTATATTATGTTTAAAACGGCTATTAGCATTTCAAACTTTAATTACGATAAAAAATAGAATTTGAGAAATTAAGTCAATATTCGAAATTTAATTTACTCGATTTTTAGATTTAACATAAATGCGAAAGGATGTTTGCTAAAGTTAGTAGGCGATAGCCTATACGGCTGAACCAATCTAGATGAAATTTGAAACACATTTAAACATAGTCTAGAAGAACAAATAGTCTACTTCTGTTTTTTTTTTAATAGAGAGCAGATAAAACTAGTTACATTTAATGCAATTTAAATATCTGATGCCTTTAAAAATGTATTTGCATTTAACTAAGAAACGAAGCGGAAAATCTAATCAATACTAACTCCGACTTCAGTTAACAGGTAATTACGTTGTGGAAATTGAAATCCACGGTTTAAAAAAATCCTTAATTCGTGTTTACGTATCGAGTACTTTGTGTCGTTTTTTATCAGGAGAGTGCGTTCTACATTTGCAATAGTAATTTGTTTATTTAGATTGAAAAGATTTGAATATCTTAGTACTTAATAAACTTAATGTTATGGAAGATAACGGGTCCTGAAAGTGGCTTAGATCAAATTTCCACTTAACGATTTGCCGCGCGTTTCAGAACGCGACCACGCTTTGTTTTGAATAGTCATATGATTCCACTGGCGCGACAGTAACGTCAATCAATTAGTTAAGTGTGTTAATTAAGATAAATGTAAATAAATAATGTTAATTAAAGTCATTTTTTATTTACGTCCGTAAAGCTTTTTTTATTTGTATAAAAAAGTATGATTTAATTATTATAGAATATACAGGCGGTTACAAAAATAAACAAATAATTTTCAAGGTGGATAAAACACCTTTGAAAAATAAAATAGAGAAAGATTTTTATTTTTATACTTTTGAATTTTTTGTATGTATTTGAATTAATCCAAAAACTACTGGACCGATGTCAAATTTTTGCAACATTAAAAAGCTATATTATCACTGAGTAACATAGGATATATTAAAAAAAAAAATTATACGCGGGCAAAGTCGCGAACATCAGCTAGTGAATACATATTTCTCTACAATTGTTTCGTACTGCCCACTGAGGTTATAATTGCTTAACAAATTCTTGTGTGGAATTGTAATTCGTTGTTAGGTAAGAACATTTGGTACGCCTTACTGTAAACTAATTTGGTCTTCAAAAATATTACAAATATATGTTCAACCAACTTTGAATAGATTTCTTGAGTAGGAAAGGTTATATAAAGTATTTACAGACAAGAATGACTTATTTACTCGGCACAATAAGAATTGTTTGGTCGTGACAAGGAAATTACTGAGTGAACATGTACTGTTAGTAATTCAATACTTTTAATTGATTTTTTTTTACTAAGTAAATCAAAACTATAGACATGATGTCGTCTAAATTCTTTACTAGAAATATAAGTAGAAATAGTGCTTTTTGGTGAGTGTTTGTTTCTTATTATTTTATGAATAATGTAATTAACATTACTTAACATCTACAACAGTTTTTATTTATTACAAGTTATACACATTTATACGAAGACTAGCTTTCGCCCGTGATTCCGTCTGAGTAAAATAAAAAAAACACTTAGAAGTAGCCTTTTTTTGGTCAAAACTATGCTGTACGTCTATACCAAATTTCATCGAAATCCGTTCAGCAGTTTCGGCTACTTTCTAACAAACATACATATATACAAACCTTCGCATTAATAATAAGGATTTATATTAAGGTGAGTTTCCACAACGAAAATATCCGAATGTAAATCATTGTTGTATCTAGTTTTTTTTCTAAAAAAAAGATGTTCTATAGATGTTTTTTTTTTTAACTATTTTTAACATATTAAGGTGTGCACCTTTGACGAAACTGTAGCACAACTTTTTAGTCGCGCTTTAACTCCTACATTATACTCGTATGGTGGTGTGCACACTACTCGATATTTAGTCGTGCAACTAAACATTTGAATTGTCTGCGAAACAATCGACAATCGAACAACAGTTGTGCGATAGTTTAGTCACAGGGGTGCGCCCGCTCTTATCTTTGTTTTGGATAAATGTAATGGTTTACTTTTCTATCCAGGACGAAAAAGCTAACTATACAATCGCCGATGGTAAGAAATGTAATCGAGAATTTCCCAAATTACTTGCCAAGAGTTGTAGAAACAACATTGATCGAAAAAAAGTACGCTGACAATAAGTTATTAAAGGAACGCATTATAAATGTAAGTATATACATATTACAACTAACATTAGGTAGTAAATAATAATCCCCACACAGCCGCGTTGTGGAACGGTCTGTCCTCGGCGGTATTTCCAAACCAATACGACTTAGGGTCCTTCAATAAGCGAGCCTATCATTCCCTCAAAGGCCTGCAACGTATCTGTAGTTCCTCTGGTGTTGCATGTCCATGGGCGTCGCTGACCACCTTGGTGTTCACGAGGCTCGTTTGCCCCCTTTTTATTATAAAAAGGCAATCTTTCTATTTTTTTATCATTACCTCGTAATCCATTAGTGTAGAGTTAACTTTCACTGGAGTAAAACTCATGTTACGTAGTTCGGAAACGCATTTCATGAAGTTTTAGAAACAAAAACACTATTAAATGATTAAATGTAGCTGGGAAACCGGACATAATTAAATTGTCTTACTTCAATTATTACTAGGTAATAATAATATGTACTTCTGCAATAATTCAAAGGTCACCTTTAACGGCTTGAACAGAGAATGAACATAAAAGGAATATTTGCTTTTTATAGAAAAACTAGCTTTTGCCCGCGACTCCATCGGCGCGGAATAAATTAAAACTTAATAAGCAGCCCATGTTTTCTTGCTGAATACGTTTTTCATTTGTGTCAAAACATCGAGATCCGTACTTATGGCTACAAACTCAAACATCCATTAATGTGTACTTCCAAAAATAAAATTACTAGCTTTCGCCCGCGACTCCGATTGCGTGGAATTAAAGACAAAATCAAGTAGTCTTATGTGTTCTTCCAGACTTCTATGCCGAATATCATCGAGATTCGTTCACCTAACAAATATCCATCCATCCATGTAAACTTTCGCATTTATAATAGCAACTAAGATAAGATCGGAAGATCTCCCTTATTAGAAAGATTGAAAATATTAATTTAAGCCGTCAATGTTCGGTGTTTATTTTCATGTTGATTTTATACTCCTAGATAGCTGAGCACGAAGCCCTGGCGCGGGAGCCAATACAAGGCAACCTCACGATGTTCGCATTCGACGCACTGGCAGATACAAGACAATTAAACGAGAAGAAATTGCATCAAATACAAGTTTTAGCTTGGGGAGTAGAGTTAGTAAGTAAATACGAATAAAAAAAGTGGGCACAAATGTATAGTTCCTCTAGTGGTAAGGCGTCAATCATCTCTATGTTCCCTCTCGTTTGCCACCTTCAAAATAATTTTTTTTTACTTAATTTAATGTAATAGTAATTAACGAAAAGATTAACTTAATAAAGGCATTTAAAACACTCAATATCTATATTAATTCGCATAAATAATTTGTAAATTTTAATAATTTTGTAATTCGATACTTTACTCGATAAAAAGAATTAATTTTTAATTATGTCGATTAATTATTTTAAGAATTTCATTATTCATTAGTTTACAACTTGAATTAATTTTAATTTGAATTATCAATTATTAATTGAATTAATTATTTAAATTAATTTGTTTAATTAAGAAGAATACAAGAATCGATAATATAATACAGGGATGTATTTACAGTTACAAACGTATTACAACATCGGTGACGATATAGAAGACAACGCTAAGACCCGGTCGGGCAAACCGTGCTGGCACCAGTTGCCCGGCGTAGGGTTAATGGCAATCAACGACGCAGATCTAATACGAAGTTTTATTTATGAAATGATAAGGAACAATATAGAGGAGCCAATTGCTTATACAGTACAGAATTATTTTAATGAGGTAATACAGAATAAAATTAAGTAGCTCTTTTATTGTACATGTCTATACTATTATAATAAAGCGTAATCACACTACTTTGTGGCGCAAGATGACAGCAATCACAGCATATTTTTAAATAATTCTTTCTTTAATTAAAACCCTACATTTACAACACACTTTAGGCTATTTATTTTCACGCTAAACTAAGGAGTAAATAAATTGGAAAAAACCTTCACGTGGGAAAGTGACTATAAACTACAAGTTGCCACCATCAAAGAAGCAAGGTTGCCACGGTTTGTCATTATGTCATGTCATTTAAAGATTTGCATTGACAATTTGACAAATGTAAATAATAAAATGTTTTTTTTTATAATTTCATGCGGATGAAGCCGCACGGGAACAGCTAATAAAAAAATAAATGTGGAAAAAGTAACTGTATTTACGTACAAACGTTTTGATTTTTGTATATAACTCGTTGGATTTTTACAATAATTTATTCGTGAATCATTATTTGTTAAACCTACAACTCATCGGCATTAGAGAGGGCGCACACCTTTTACTTAGCTATATCACAATTGTTGTGCGATTGTCGATTGTTTGGCAGCGAATTCAACTGTTTAGTTGCGGAATCAAAGCGAGACTAAAACAGTCAAAGATGTGCGCGCGCTCATAAAGTGAATAGACTTTCTGCTTCTTCATCCTAATTATATTATTTTTTATTTTATTTTTATTGTTTTGTTTCAGACATATTTTGCTTTGAATATCGGCCAACTAATGGATATTTCCTTGACTAGATCAAAGGATTTTACACAATTCACAATGGAGCAATATGATTTATTGAATTATTTTAAATCAGCTTTCTACACCGTGAAGTTACCAATATTACTTGCTCTTTCGCTCTGTAACTTACACAGTAAAGAAGCGTACACACACGTCGATAAAGTATGCTCGGATTTAGGCATACTTCTGCAAATGCAGGTAAGCGTCGTTAATAATTTAGAATGCTTTCTTTAGCGGTCCTTAAGACCTTACAATAAGAAAGTATTTATCTAATTTATCATTTAATAGCTGTTACCGTGCGGCTTTATCAGCATGAAATAATGAAAATTTCTTTTTGTTGTTCACATTTGTCATATATCAGTGGCAAAAATCAAAATGACATGACACGACAAACCTTGACAATTTTGCTTCCTTGATATTGGCAGCAACTAATGGTCTCTATCTCACATTAGGGTTTTTATCCATAATATTTACACCCTAAATTTAATGGCGTGAAAATGTATAGTGTAAATAGTGACGCAAGTGTAGGGCTTTTTATTAAAAAATGAATTATTCAATAATATGCTGTAATTGCTGACATCTTAGGCAACAAAGAAGTGTGTGTTTACGCTTTATTAAAATAGTATAGATTGTATTAAAATTTTACAATAATGGTAAGAGTGTGCGCGCATATAAAACTAAACGATAGCACAACTGTTTAGTCTCGTTCCTTTGAGCTTATATGCACACTACTCGATTTTTAGTTGTGCAACTAAACAGTTGAATTGGCTGCAAAACAATCGACAATCGCACATCAGTTGCGTGATAGTTTAGTTAAAATTGTGCGCTCGCTCTAAACGTATTTACTAACTTATTAAATTTAACACAGAACGATGTTATGGACTACGTTGACAGTAATTCTGCCTCAATAAAAACAAGTTCGGACATACAGAACAGAAAGTGTTGTTGGCCCGCGGTGGCGTTACTAGAAAATTGCAACGACATACAACGTAAAGAATTTGAATTGTGCTACGGACAATCCGAACCAGATAAAGTGGAACGAGTAAGGAGACTATACAAAGAAATAGACATTATAAAAATCTATCGCCAACACGAACAGAGAAGATATGACGCGATGATGGAACAGATCAAACAATTGCCAGTCAACTCTATACCTTCTAAAGACTTCTTTATCAAAATTCTAAATGTCCTTCGCAATTATACTGAAGACATATCACCAACAAAATCTTAAACAAGCAAAAAAGACCTTAACAACTTTAGAATTAGATTTAATTATTAATTTAAAGGCGACATAGAATAAGAATCCATTCAGACTGGAGCGTAGAGTGATACAGATTTATATTGCAAATAAAATAGAGCTTCATTCGTTGGGAATAAGGTATAATTTTGCTTAGCAAGTACTGAGAAGTCATATTAAACCTTATCCCAAGCAAATAAAGTTCAATTTTGTTTGCAAAAAATTGTTTTGCTCTACGCTCTGAACGGATCCTAATGCTGCTTTAATATTCCCGGTTCATGGAATGATTTAATTAATAGTTCACACTGAACAAGCAGCATTTCCTAAACACGATTATACATGCACGGTTTAACTTGCCTATATGTAATTGACAATGATTTGTTTACGAAAACTCTATGTTGCAGTAATGGTTTATTATCTTTCGTGTTTCAAACTTTTACTATGGATAGGAAACTGAACGATTACTTAATTTATAACATTTTGCACTATATTAAATTGTAGTATAAAGTACGTGTACCTTTGACGAAAATGTCGCACAACTGCAGCCACCTGAATCCACCGAAATCTAAAGCGACCGCTGCCCATAAACATCTGAAATTGCAGATGCGTTGCCTACCCTTAATTGACGGAGGAGGAGACGCACATAAAGAGAACATTTCCCCTTCCTATGCGTCTCCTCCACCGTCAAACTTTTCCTTCCCATCCATACCTCTTAACAAAAGGGTAGAAAGGGAAAGGGACTAAAATTAGGCCTGTTTAGTTGCCCTTTGATTGCTATGAGTTTATACGGAGCGCACGATTTTTAGTTGTGAAACTAAACGGTTAAATTGGTTTTAAAACAACTGACAATCGTACAACAGTTGTGCGATAGTAGCTCATAATTTGTATTCTATGCTCTTATATGCCTACGAACTTTAACTACCCTAAGTTAAGGGTGACTAGACCATATTATATTAAATATTGTAACGTATGGTGCAAATTATATTACGTTGATATACATTACATCTTTTATTTTATAGCTATCTGAACCTTATCCCAAAATGTAATTAGTCAAAATTATTTCGTTCATAGTTATTGTCAACTAAGGCAACTTTGTGATTGCAAATGCACGTCGTAGGAGTCCTGTGGTGGACCAAAGGGATCCTCGGGGTCGTGGTAGATCAGCGTGGTGGCACTAATAAACTATCAAAACGATCCTAGGAAGACGGTAATCTAGGGTCGTCCTTTGTTGCCATAACATCGTAGGGCCTCAAGGACAGTTTGAGTACCGAAGGTCTGGTGTGTTCCTTGGAGATGCCGGAATCTTCGTCTATATCACTAGAGGATGGTCACCGAGGGGGTTTTAGTAAATCAAATCCTACATAACCCTGCCTTGCCCCCAGAAGGCAAAGTATCTTTTGAAGATTCTCCCCGACTCCCACAAAAAGGAGTCCTGTTAGATCTATTAATTTACATTAAAAAAAAATCATCTGCTGGCTTAAGATGGCCATTTGGCTACAGTTGGCTACTTAATAATTCTTACAAAAACATGGTGGAGAGTTATTAATTTTACTAGTAAATTAAAGCGAAAGTTGCTAATAGAGTGAGCACACTGGAGGCGTGTCTAGGTTTGGGCGCTACTAATTGAGTGTAACCTACACTAGGCAAACTATACAAGGTGTATTAGATGAATGTGTTGACACGCCCTTTGAAGCGCTTGGGTAAGGCATTCTTTATTTCATGTCGTCTATAGTAATATTATAAAGAGGAAAGATTTGTATTTTTGTATGCATTGAAGTAACTCAAAAACTACTGGGCCGACTAAAAAAAATCTTACACCAATAAAAAGTTACGTTATCAGTGAGTAAGATATATTTTAGTATTATAACTTAATTTTACGAGGACGAAGTCGTGAGCAACAGCTAGCTTTTTTATTTTCTTACTAGCTTTCGTGCGCAACTCTATCCGTGTGGAAAAAGCAAAAGTAACGAGCCTATGTGTTCTTCCAGACTGCTACACGATTATGTCCAATTTCCAAACTTTGGCATTTATAACATTAGTAAGATACGTAAGACATTATTACAACTATTCGTTGTGGATCGTTTGTAATAATGTCTCACGAAAGTTTAAATAATTTAATTATTACTAATTTGTTATATGAGCGATATTAATAACATGATATTACTATTTTTTTTTATAACATAAAGTGGCAAACGAGCAAGCGGCTACCTGAATCCACCCAAATGGCGAAGCGACCGCTGCCCATAGACATCCGCAATTGCAGATGCGTTGCCTACCCTTATACGACGGAGGAGGAGACGTACGTAAAGAGGATACTTTCCCTTCCTATGCATCTCCTCCACCGTCAAATCCACTTCCCCTTCCCATCTTCTTATAAGAAAAGGGTGGTAAAGAGAAAGGGACTTAAATTAGGCCTCCGGCACCACATTCATCAGACGAAACACGGAATTGTTTCCATTTCACGCCTGTCTTCTGTGTGGTCGTGGTATTACACCGGGCGTGCCGACCCATTCGTGCTAAGATGTTAAAGCGGGCACTACCACGGTAGAATTTACTAGCACAAGATCTATGGTGTCTTAAATAAGAGGTTAGTTACAGACGTGAGTTATGTTGGTATTGTTTTTTATACAAACAGAAAATAAATTAATAACATTGTTCGTTTAATTGATTATTTTTATTACCCTAAATTAACCCTAACCATGACTTTTCTTGCTTTTATCATATTCCTTTTCAATAGAACCTTTACACAATATTGTCTTTGTCACGATTGAATAATTAGAATAATTGATTTATTTTCTTGAAATCGCCTTAAGAAATCTTTTATGGTATGTTTTGATATGTTTCTTTTAACGTAATTTTTTCATACAGTTAAAAGCACAGTCATCATTAACATGCCCTTATCCCTAATGGAGGGTCTGCACAGTAAGTGCTCTTCCATACATCTCTATTAGCCGTCTTATCTGAATCTACTCCATTTTTAAGCATATCCTCTTTCACACAATCCATCCATACTTTCTTCGGTCTTCCTCTTCCTGTAGCCATCCACATTCATGCTTAACACTTTCTGGTTTATGTCCCTGTCGTCTCGTCGCATAACATGTCTATAGTTACAAGTACAGTAAAAGTACTTTAAATTAAGAGACTTTTGGACTTTGACAGTTAAGAAAAAAGTGCTTTTAGAAATCTATTTTTTATTCCATTCATGAAGCACCTTCTGTTGCTATTAATAATTTTACTACCCACTCGTAAACTTGAAGCCAATTTCGGTTAACCTTTTTTTATGTTAAATATGTCGCAGGATTTGAGCTATTTTTGTTGTTGCTGGGAATTTTTAAAAAAATAAGGGTTGACGACCCAACGCTAACTTAAAAGTTTAGACAGGTTAAATTACTGAAATAGTTTATATGCATTTTTTTATATTTTTCATCGGTTGAATGAATAGGAGATCGTTGTCCTTTTAGTTTTTTTCTCTTTTTTCATGCTTAAATGGTGTTGATAGTTTGAAATTCAAATCCATAACCTATAATCGAGGTCTATCTCAATAAGAGGTTATTGGAGAGGGCAGTTTTACTTCGTTCCAATATGCTCGTTGAAGTAAAAGTTCATTATAACTATATTAATATTTCAAATCCTCAATACAGTAGCCAATTTATACATTCAGCGACAAAATGAAGAATACCATGTTTAAATACAGACCAACCAAAGTATCTGTCCATTTGTGGAGATCAGTGGTGGTATTAACTATATTTTTATCAATGATAATGTGGTTGAAGACGTATAAAATCAAAATAAAAGTAAGTACGTAAAAGTCCCAAGACTATCTTTTTTCATTTTGATATTATAATCGAAATAAGTTCGCAATTTTCTAGCTAAATGTACGCATGGTCTGGAAATTTAATATGTAAATAACGTGAAAATCATATGTAACACACAATTATTTTATAACAAATGTTTGTTATTGGCTGTGTACATAAGGTATAGAAAACCCTTTTGTAAGTTGTCACATTGTAAAAAGGGTCAATTCGGGAACGGCTGGACAAACATTTAAAAAAGCCCGGGGATACATTACAAAACACATTGTATGCCGGAATGTAGATAAAAAATAACGGATCGTAAAACACTGAAAAACGTTAGCAATGAAACATTTCGCATAGAGAAATATCTCAATAACATTTTTATGTTTAGATGTCGGAAAAATATTAGGAAAATGTGAATTAATCTGTACCGTCTGGCATTTTAGTAGACAATTATTTTTAAATCTAGAAAATCTACTACCTAAAGTAAACAACTGCTTTGTCGAAAATGTTTATACGACTGACAGGAGGAAAATTTGTCTTGCCAGAATCCTTGGGGGTAATATTTTATGCACAATTTATTTAAAACTGACAGTATACATAAACTCACAATCTCTTCAAAGAAAATTTATACGCGACTTTTATCATATAGGCGCCTGATGAAATTTTTCATGTACATCTAAATGAAAATGTGCAAACATCTATTCCGCCATGTGACGCACAGTTTATTTTCCGTATAATGCATCATTCAAAAGCAAATGTTTCTCTCATTATTCACGATATTTACATAATTCCTGTTCTTATCGCATTTGCATCAGCATTAAAACTGTAAGACGTAAAAAATATTGCGCACATCATTTTCAGAATCACGCTAATGTTCTAATAATTTTATATTAACACTAGCTGTTGCCCGCGACTTCATCCACGCAATATTAAGTTAAAAAACTAGTCTATAATATGCCCGTCATTGTCAGCTACTCTTCATTGAGAGTCCGATCGAAATTGGCCCAGTCGTTACAGCGATTACCCGGAAAAAACGCGGCTTGCGGACAGACAGACAGACAGACAGACAGACAACAAAATGTTTAAATGCGATTTTCGTTATCTGTAAAGCAAATACGTCATCTTCCCGACATCTGAAATTTTTCTTTTGGTATTACAAACAGACACTCAAATTCTAAAAATTCTGAAAATAGTAAATTTACTAAAACTTGTTACTTTACAACTAACTCATAAAACTTATAGAAAAATAATCCAATTTTATTTTAGATATTTCTATTTTTAATAGTAAATTATTTAAGCATTTCTTTACGCCACGAAATACGTAACACGTTATACCTATTTTACGAAGTGTCCATTGATATATTCCCGAACAGCATAAAGTTTGGATGGCACTGTATCATCAAAGTTGATTGACAGATTATATTGTTGCGGTAAATTGCTTTACCGCCTTTCATAATATTGATATTGACGACGATGTGTCCAAAAAATCGTTTGTCCAACACAATCCATCAAATGCGTCATTCAATCGCAACAAATTAATCTTATTAATAAACTAATATTTTTAATAGAACAAGGAAACAATGTTTTGGATATAGTATGAAACTGATATACTAAGAGCCTGCGCACACCTTTGACTAAACTGTCGCACGACTGTTTAGTCCCGCTTTGATTCCTATAAGCTTATATGGACGTGCGTACACTACTAGATTTATGTGTAACTAAACATTTAAATTACCGAGTCTGTTCCATTATGATTTCATGTATTATAATCTACCTTTCGATGGATGATGATGATGATGGATGGATTGCGTGAAAGGTGACATGATCAAGAAGGGAGTGATGACTGAGATGACGGATGATAGAATGCTTTGGAGGACGAAAACCCGGCGCGCCGACCCTACGGGAGTAGGATAAGGCAGGGGAGATGAAGATAACGTTCGACCGCGACGCCGTCCGAATTAAAAAAGTACTACCAGAGTATCCTCTACATCTATGCCAAATTTCGTCGAGATAAGTTTAGTAGTTTTGGATAATAGGGTTTAAATTCGTATTATCTTTAAATCAGATTTTATACTACTGTCATTGTTGTACAACATTTATTGGTATAGATATGATTTCCGTAAGACCCTTATCACATATATTAGTGTTGATGAATGAGATAGCATTTTAATCACTATATAAGAAGGAAATACTTAGTTTGGGAATTATACATCGATTCGATTTGACGATGAAGTTGGTCCTTGTTCTGTGTTGTCTGGGGCCGCTGGGGGCGCTGGCGGCGGTCTACGAGCCCCTGGAATTGAACTACCACGAGCGCGTGGGAATTCCGCTAGCCCAAGCCCTAAAACAAGCAGAACTCGCGGCCGATTTCGATGGCGGCAGGATAATTGGCGGATCATTTGCCGCCCTCGGCGCATACCCTTACAAGGTGAGATAAATAGAAACCACTTTTAGTATGTCAATTTTGCAAACAAGTTTTTTGTTAGCAAGTTTACCTGTCGCCCGAGAATCCGCACCTCGTAAAGTAATAATAATTAGTAGGCTATGGGTGTTCGAGTCTGTAATCTAGCTTTACAAAAAACTCCAAGTACACAATTACCACATATACAATTTTTTACAATCGGTAAGATTCGGTTCAGCAAGTATATATTTCTTTTTTATGTTTACTGTAGGCTGGACAGATAATGACGCTGACGAATGGGGGACAGTCGATCGGCGGCGGTACATTGATCAGTAACACACGGGTGCTGACCGCGGCGCATAACTTGATAAGCGGGGGGCAGTTGGTGCGCCACGTGACCGTCGTGTTAGGCTCCGTGCGCATCTTCTCCGGCGGCACCAGGATTACCTCCAACAGGATGGACATCCACGCCAATTATAACCCCAATAATATTAATAACGACATCGCCATCATTACTATCGACTGGGTCAACTACAGCAGTTAGTATATTTAAAACGGGCTCAAACCTTTGATTAAACAATCGCACCATTGTTGTGTGATTATCGATTGTTTCGCAGCCAATTTAACTGTTTAGTTGCATAACTAAATTTCAGTAGTGTGCGCAGCCATATAAGGTCATAGGAGTCAAAGCGCGACTAAACAGTTGTGCGATAATTAAGTCACAGGCGTGCGTACGCTTTTCTCAAACGTGCAGGTTTTCAAAAGTCTTTTTTCAGCCTGTGGGATATTTTAATTCCAGATACGATCCGCAACATCGGGTTGGCGTCTGGCAGTAACACATATGCCGGCGCATGGGCCTGGGCTATCGGCTTTGGAAAGACCAGCGACAGTAAGCTATACTGCACTGTAATTTTATTTTTATCTCTCCTAATTGAGTACAGAGTGAAACTCCGTGACGACTAAAAAGGCGAAATGTTTTACTTTGACCTAGAACAGAGTTGCGAATAATGGTTTGAATGTTAAAAGAAATGTTTGAAGAAAAGTTAGGAAACTTATTGTTCCTTGCGCTTGTTTTCGTGGAACGTAAATACGCTCTTGGAACATAAATTTGTGGTTTTACTATTTAAATTCGTGATTTTTTTAAATAAATTGAACAAAGATTAAGTTGAAAATAAACAATAAAACGTCTTTTCAAAATAGTTTATTGTGTAAGGAAGAAAGACTGATGTATACATCCTCATGTGTTTCCCTTAAGCATTCTAAGTTTTTTTGTGATGACTTCAGCGGAGCCGGCGAGTCCGGACCTGAAGCACGTGCGCGTGCAGGTGATAAGCAACGACGCGTGCCGGAGTGCCATCCCTGGCAACTTTGTGATTGCCTCGACCCTATGCATCAGCGGCACCACAGGGAACATCTGCACCGGTGACTCTGGCGGCCCGCTCGTTGCCGACAATCTTCTCGTTAGTTACTTTACTTCTATACATTATCCTATTAAAATAACTAACACTTTTGTATCAAAAGAAATTCACAAGAGAAGCGACAGTTAACCATAGACATCTGCATTTGCGTTCTTTACCTTTAATCAATAGAGAGGAGGAAAGAGGTTATTAATATGCGTCCCAACCATCAATCCCGCTTCTCCTTGGACGGTATAAAGGGGAAGAAGACTATAATGAAATCTCTTGTACGAAATACTTGTATATTGATAAAGTAACATCGAACTGTTAATTTTCCTATGTAAATTTTAACAAACTAAAAGATATTTGTTTTACGATGTTATAGATCGGTGTATCTTCATTCGGGTCGGGCTTGTGCGACGCGCGCCGACCTTCCGGCTTCGCTCGTGTCAGCTCATTCAATTCTTGGATCCGAGCGCGTTTGTAATGCCACAATCAGCCAAAATATATAACTATTTACTAAAAAACAATGTTTTTATTTATCTTACTAATCATAAAATTACGTGTAAAATTAACAAAATCCGTTTGGAACGGAAACTCATTAGTGTTATCTTATCCTGATATATTCTATATTTCTGTATCTTAATGAAGATATATTAATAATTAAATCGTTTAGAAAAACCCGTTTTGATATTTTGTCATAATTTCATAGGATTTAGATAAATAATCTGACTGGCAACAATTTAGCTACTATTTCAGGTGTCCTAGTATTTCCGGCTTTAGGTATTTCTGGCTCTTGACTAATTAAGGATTATTTTCTACTCAAGACCAGATTTCATACAACTAAATACTCATATAAATGCATACATGTAAATACCCTCACTCACACTCATATACCCAAACACATGTGTGTGACTAAGAGATGGCACTGCCTCCTGTAATACAGGTCCCCACCTAGCTCAGGAAGCAGAGCCCCAATGATTATTGTTCAACTGATCGTATTAATAAGGTGTTTTTTATTTTTTTATATTAGCTAGTTATAGATTAAAAAATTTCTTTCACATTTTATGATTTTATGTCATCAGCTTACATCATAAATATATTAAAAACAAAATGAGTTATTGCATACAATAGAGGTAATATTCCTATTTTCATGTAATAGTAGCACAATATTTTCTGGCCCGGTAATAGAAACGCAGCTTAGATATTTCTAACAGTTCTATACAAAAGTTTTACAAAACTTTTTTTGACAGTGACACAAAACGAGACGTGCCATGACACCATTGCGACATGGACACACTGACACTTTTATGACTTTGGCGCTAATGCGTTATTGAAAAGTATTACATATTCCTACCCGGTCAGATTTTGACGGACCATATAAATGAAGACACAACTGTCGTAGTATCACAGTACTTGACAGTTGTCAACAAAACAATATTTAATTTGCATAATGTTATTTGTGAGCATGACAGATGACAGATTGACAAGGCAAATGTTTCTATAGTGACAGTGTAAATTGTTTATGAATATTATCGACCATATAAACAAAAGTAGTAAGTAAATCTTAGTTCAATAAGAAAATCGCGATGCCGAGAATTCAGAGGGCAATACAAAAAAATCATTAAGTTAAAAAATCCTATCAAAAGACATTAGATCTAATTACTCTTTGCAAAATTCCACAAAGTTGGTTTTGGTATTTTCGGAGAATGATGACAATGTACCCAAACAAGATATTTTCACATTAAATTATTATTGATAGCAATTATTACCTATTGGCTATCAAATTAGTTATAGATCGACAAAGTTAGTTGACCCGGTGGGCATTAACCAAAATTAGCACTCACTAGCGCTTTCCAGTCAATGTTAAAGTTAGTTAGTTAAAAAAGTTACACACGAAACTTGTACTGTGGTTTTTACGTATTTTCTGATTGAATTAACCAAAATACCAACGCCTTTCTCACTTCTCTTTGACTATAAGTCATTAAAATGTAAAACCGGTACCAAATTAGTTTGGTTATAAAGTGTGTCTGTTGACAATAAATAAAGGAATAGAAACTGACAGTCGATTTCAATAAATCCATCACAGATGTCGAATGTTTGTGTTACGATTGATAAAAATAACATATTTATGGACGAGATATATCTGTACTTTAGATATTAAATTTTTACAGCCGAAGCTTCATAAAGCGTAAAAATTCTGTACTATAATGACGGTATTCCTTGAGAAAGTTACAATCACTAAATAGAATTACCCACGAGTTTGTAGTTACTATTTTTTTTTAATGTGTTAAAAACTCAATAGATTTAAAAAAGTATGTCTCTACAGCGAATAAACATTTTGTACTAACGAGCCGATAATTTAGTTAAATAATTATTTAATGTATAGGGTACCTATTCTGATCTAGGGTAGATGCAGTTAAATGCCTTAATAAGTCTTCATGGCAAAAGTTTTAGGAAAAATACTTCAACAAAAATCTAAAATAGCATTTGGCGAAAGATTTGGGGAAAATTTCTATGAACGAAAAACTTCTAAACATCATTTCTTACAAATTAAACTCGCCAAAGATATAAATTTATTTGTCTCTCATCTCCAACGGTAACTACAATTACGTAATTTATTACAACATGTCAATATCCAAGAACACCGTTGTCAGATTGGGGAGACATGAATTTCGACGAAGTAAGTTGTCGGATTGGGACGACATGAATTCCAGCCGCAAATTATACGACTGTCTCGTGTAATGTAGACAGATAATGCGCCCGGGCCAATCAAGCCGACCGAGCTATGTACAAGCATTTGGCTTGATGGATGGTATTATGCCGGAATGCTAAAGGAAATTGTTCTAGTTAGAACATTTCAGTAGATGGAACAATTGGGTGCTATGCATCTTAGATTTGAAGAATAATTCATAACGCGAACTGTAGTTATTATTTAGTAATTAAAACACACATAGAGTTAATCCGTTCGGGAATTGTGATAACTGTGGTTATCATAGATAATTAAATTTGTCTCCATTCCTATTATATATACCACAGACTATATAATAAACAAATAAGCCTATGACATAAATGATAAAAAAAATAAAACTTATAAGAGCCACGTCACACCAATTTCAACTTATTTTTACGGTTATGTTCATGTGGGACTGCACTATAAAGCGGGTGCAAACTATAAAAACGTACAGTCAATAAATGCATAAGCTATGTTCGCTGTCGGTGCAATCCCACGTGCTATAAGACAATAACTACATTCGACAAAGTTCACATCGGTTTCGACACTCTCTGAAGTGCACTTAGAAAGCATGACTTTATCTACAAATTTAAAACAGAATTTTTACTAGAATATGAAATGAAAACGTTTTCTATGCAAAAAACCTAACAAGTAATAGTTACATCCTTTTATATTTTTTTTAACGTGATTGTAATTCGTTCTGATATAAGTTATTAAGTTGTGAAAACTTAAGGCTATATGCGGTCGACGTCTTTAGCAGGTTAGTGCGGCTAGTTTACTCGTGCCATAACCGCCGTCTCCCGAGTGCTCTCAACGGTTCCCCATCTCCCTATTAATAGCCTATTAATTCCAGAAGGAAACGGGATTCCATTATCAAGACCCTTGCAAGAACTTCAATCCTATAATTTTTTCTCTGATTTATTTTTAACAAGCTGTTGCCCGCGACTCGTCCATGCAATATAAAGATAAAAAAGTCGCCGATAATATGCCTATATGTCAGCTGTCTTTCAGTGAAAGTCCGGTCGAAATTAGCCCAGCCGTTTCGGAGATCAGTTGGAACAAACGCGGCTTACGGACAGAGAGACAGTAAAAAAAAAAATTAAATGCAATTTTCGTTATCAACAACTCACATCATCTTCCCGAAATCTGGAATTTTTCATTTCATATTACAAACAGACACTCCAATTTTATTACATGTATAGGTATATGATATAAAGAATAAAAAATGAGATTATCGGTTGTATATAATTTTATTTCCAGAAAACTTGGTTACTTAAACACGTTTTTTATAATCGATAACATGCGATTAACAAAGGCTTTTGTTCGTGATACGTTAAAAATTCGTACGAATAAAATGCGAATACTGGGTTTTAATCTATAATTGAGGTAGCCACCCGCGCACGAAACACCCTTGTCACGTTTTGTAGGCCGTGACTCGAGATTGGTGGAATGAGAATGGATAAAACAATTATTGTACCTACACCCCGTATCGTTGTGATACGAACTGTCACCGTGTTTCTATACCTTTGAATAACCAATTTTTATTAGATTTTTCCCGCAATTCGGTCCGTGAAATAAAAAGTATTCAGTAAGTGGCCTCAGAATTTTTCCAGACTATGTTCTATATTTATGCTTAATTTTATCGAGAACCGTTTGGATTTTTTTTTAGTTTAGTTTTGGAGATATTAAGTAACAAACATCCCACACAACAGTCGCGTTTATAATATTTGTAATAATTAGGCAACCCGGTTACAACATGTTTAAAAAAATGTGCTCTTTCACGTAATGTAGGTTTCATCAGGAAAGCTGATGAGGGAAAGTCATCACTAGAGTTGTATCTCTGACTATTAGTAACACATAAATTAAAATAATATAAATGTACCAATATACCGAAAGGAAAATAATAGATAATTCGTTTTTACAGCTTACTCTGTGCTTTTTATATAACAAGTTCAAATAATTTGTGTATTTGAATTTTATTACATGAAAAACATTTTTCTTTCCTTTCGCTTCACTACTTTCTTTCAATTCTAACAGCCTCTTGTAATGTCTTCGACAGTTTTGCACAGCCATTAGTTTGATAGTGCAAAAATGTAAGTACAAAATAAATATAACTAGTACAACATAACAATTTCTCACATTGTTTTTGAATTACAATTTTTAATTAAATTACAAATTTAACCAACAATGATGGCCGAATGGCAAACAGATCTGCAAAAATTAAGCAAAACCGAATATTAGATCAGTAACTTATTATTTATTCTTTTTTTAACTTTTAATTTTCTATTTTAAATTGAAAACTGTAGTCTGGTAAACTTTTACATTAATTATTTTTATTTTTTATAACTTTAATGCAGAACTGAAATAAAGGCTATTTTATTTATTTAACCAATAATGATGAGTTTTGTGAACTGACAAAAACATTGTGAGCGAAGACACGCTTTTCTTCATGTCACGGCTTCTTAATTAATCTATAGTTACTAATATTATAAAGTGGAAAGATTTGTATTTATATATATATTGAAATAACTCAAAAACTACTGGGCCGATTTCAAAAAATCTTTCACAATTAAAAAGCTACGTTATCAGTAAGATAGGCTTTGGTTCTTTTTTTTATCGATTTCATGCGGACGAAGACGCAAGAAACAGCTAGTTATCGATACTTTGGTGTTCGCTTTACAGAATGTCCCAAGTCACACTACATTATTTTCTTGTATAAAACCACACGTGCTTGTATGTAAATTTCTATGATCTAGAGACATCCCTGTATACTCACGTATGTGTACAAGGAAT